AGAAAAAAAAGCACGTATCCAATTCCCTTTTAAAAGAACGTACAGACTCTGCCTCAACAAGCAGCGTATGGCAGAAAATGCCACACTTTCCAACATCCGTTGAATTCTCTTTTGTGGTGTGTGTGTGTGTTTACTTCGCTTGAGAACAATTATTATTATTATTATATATTATTATAACAATGGAATCGTGCGCTTCACCCCTGTGCAGGAGACAGAGATGTCGAACACTAGGCTGAAATGCAATGACATTCAGCACCCTGATGAGCCGAATTAAGACAGAATCAGGCGGAAGAAAGGCAAATGTCTTCAAAAGCTTGATGCGGGAAAGGCTCCTGGGCTCAATACACAGCGACTGCTTCTCAAAGCCCTCGCTGTGAGATTGGCTTTCCCGTGGCTCGTGCAGGCAGAATGTGTCAGCGAATTTGAAGAGGGATTTAAATAGCGACGGTGCTGTGAGGAATGAACCGAGTAGCAGAAAATCTAGGTTAGCGATATAGCGTTTCCCAAAAAGTCGTGATACCATTTATTTTTAATAATAATTACTTTATTTCTTCATCATTTCTTTAAGACTTATTAGACATTTCAATGGTATCATGTCTTTTTGGTCACGCTATGCACACTATATATATATATGCACACACTACATATATTATATATATATAATATAGTAGTAATCCCCCAAAAGGCTGTGGATGTTGGATCCATTCAAACTGTCAAGGCTGAGGTGAATAGAGTTTTGTTAGGTCAAGGTATCAAGAGATATGGGGCAAAGGCGGATAATTGGAGTTGAGGTACAGATCAGCCAAGATCTTACAGAATGGTGGAACAGGCTCGACGGGCTGAATGACCAACTCCTGTTCCTATATGATCCAATGGTTGGCTTTTTTCAAATTGTAAAAACATTTGGACAGTCCAGATGGATTGCAGTGGTCTTTATAATTCCTACTATGTTCCTTACTGTTTGGGGGAAAAACTTTGGTGGTAGAGGTATGAGAGAAGTTGTATGATATAGTTTTTTTAATGTTTTTTCTTGTGATAAGCCAGCTGGCCCAAAAAAGTATGTTTATCATGTATAATAAGCTCTCTATCTCATGTGAAATGCGCTATATAAATGCAAGCTGTTTTGTACTTTACCCATCCTTGTTAATTAATTGGAACCACCAATCACCACAAGAAATGATCAACATTGTGTTCTGGTAACTACAGAATACGATCCCTACTTTCACCTCTCCACGCCTCACAGATAATGTAGTGTATGAAAATCCGCTGGCGTATATCCATCACAAAACCCTGCTATCTGGCCTGTAATTTGAAAAGAGAATGAGGGAGTTGTGTTTGGGGTCCTGGCCAAAAATCCCTAAGATAAAATTACCTACAATTCACCTACAAGACACATAGTGACTGCACTTTGAAGTAGATCCTGTGAAGCGCCTTGAGACGTCCTCCTGACGTGAAAGGCACTGTATCAAATGCAAGGATTATTTTATAACTATAAGCTTTTGATAGGATACAAGATCCTGATCTCCTCTCGACACAATCCGACCAAATATTAAACTTTCTCAAAGAATGCAAATGTTAAATGGATGTCATACCCTAGGGATCTTAATAGAAACTTCCTTATCCTTTCTACATCAGTGACATTGTAGGTATTATTCAAACATATTGACTTTGTTGATGATGATCAGTCACAGTACTAAACTTTGCTAGGAATAAGGAGGGAAAATCGGCCAAAAGTCTTCTGCCTCATTTGCCTGTTAGCATCATTGATGTCAGCAATAGAAGTGCTAAGTCCAACATCTTGTCCTCTGCTATAATTTCGATTGCGTAATCTATAACAATAATCCTTGCATTTGATGCAACGCCTTATCACGTTGTCGAAACATCTCAAAGCGCTTCATAGAATATACTTAAAGTGTCGTGATTACATGTTTTGTGAGCGAAATGCAGCAGCCAATTGCGCACAGCAGTGTCCCACAGTCGTGGATTGAGTGATCAATTTAGCATTGATTTGGCAACATCACTCAGATAGGAAATAAAGATAGCTACTGTGGAAAGTACTGCAGTGGAGTGGGAGTTTTACACTGCGGCTGGCAGTATCTGAATTGTTAAGTGTTGTACTCCGAGGTCAAATCAACGTCATTAATCAGGCCCAGAAAGTTTCACCCAAAAAATGGCGTTCGCTCTGAAATAAACATGTTTGATATGATTTAAGTTGGTTTTGAATCTGTATCACCCGTTTTGTTCTCACTTAACATTTCCATCTCTGTGTATGCAAGTTAATCACAAGTAAATGGGGAGGAAGGGGGAAGAAGACAGAAACAGGGTCCTATCAAGTCTTTCTTAAAGCCCATTTTTGTTTTAAAAGTGAACCTGTTTTGAACCCCATTAATGATTCCTTTGCTAAAAAAGAATCGGAGCCCTAATTGCTTGAAATGTGTCGGCAATCTGTGTGGACCATCTAACAAGGAAACGCCAATAGGAAGGGCGATAGACAAAGAGAGAGACAGATTTCACACTTAATTAAACTAATGCAACTTTTTTTTTAAAAAGTGACTTGCGTTGACACTGCTTCAATTTTTAAACAAAAAACCCTGGCGTCTCCCTGATGAGTGGGACTTGAGAGAGCTGTTGTTTCCCTGGTTTGCTGTGACGACAGATCTCACTCCTCACATTTCCTTGTTGTTGACAACTCTGTCATTGTGTATAATTACGTGTTGTTGGGTGGGTGGGGGGAAAGAAAGTATAATTCCACGTCCGCTCATGTATGCTTCCCTCTTTGCCGCTCTCCTGGGGAATTTCATTCCGAGTGGGAAGGTGGCTTCCAGCCTACGGAAGATTTTATTGGTTGTGACAGGATACGCCGTTTTAATAGATATGGAACTCTTACACTTTTTAGATCTTTCTCCCTTACAATTTCTTACCCAAAACGGTGGTTGAAGCAGAATCCAGATTAGCTTTTCAAAAGGCAATTAGATACAGATTCGAAAAAGATTTATTAAAAGGCCAAGAACTGAATGGACAGCTCTTTGAGAGCGTGTATAGGCGCGATGGACTGAATGGCCTCCTTCTGCGCTAAAAGATTCAATGTTTCTATAACTTGTTAGGTTTTGTCCAGCCTAACAAGTGCTGTGACTGTGCTGTAACATACAACATATCTGTGGTTTAAAACCTTATAATGGCTGTCAATGTGGTAAAATCCTGCAACGTATCATTTTTACAAAACCTTATAGCTCGTCTCACTCCGTGCTGTAAAATCCTAAACGTGTCTCTTAAAACCCTATACCTTCTCAGTTCTGCGAAAACCTAGAACAAATGTGAGGATTATTATTATTATTATTATTAAGACATATCAATTCTGTAAAACCTTATATGTTGTCATTGCCAGTGCTGCAAAACCTTGCACCTTGTGTCACTGTGTGGGGTAAAAGCCCTACTACACCTACTGTCATTGTGTGGGGTAAAATATTAATAATTCTTGGATTTAATGTAGCACCTTATCACGGTGTTGAGATGTCTCAAAGCACTTCACAGAATATAATGTAAAGAGAATTGACTGTATATTTTGTGGGTGAATCCAGCAACCAATTGTGCACAGCAGTGTCTCACAAACATTTGTGGATTGAGTGACCAAATTATGTCTTTTTTTGAAGATATTACTACACCTGGAAATAAATAAAAGCCGTGTTGCACCTCGGGTCACTGTGTGTGTTTAGGGTAAAGGCCCTATTGTACCTTGAGTCTCACCGTGTGCGTTTGGGGTAAAGCCCTATTGTACATAATGTCACTGTATGTGTGTGTGTGTGTCACTGTGTGCGTGTGTTTGGGGGTAACGCCCCAGCTGTACCCAGTGTCACTCTATGTGTTTGGGGGTAAAGCCCCAGCTGTACCCAGTGTCACTGCGTGTTTGGGGGTAAAGCTCCAGCTGTACCCAGTGTCAGTGTGTGTGTGTGTTTGGGGGTGAAGCCCCAGCTGTATCCTGTGTCACTGTGTGTTTGGGGGGTGAAGCCCCACTGTACCCAGTGTCAGTGTGTGTTTGGGGGTGAAGCCCCAGTGTGTGTGTGTGTTTGGGGGGTGAAGCCCCAGTGTGTGTGTGTGTGTTTGGGGGGTGAAGCCCCACTGTACCCAGTGTGTGTTTGGGGGTGAAGCCCCAGTGTGTGTGTGTGTGTGTTTGGGGGGTGAAGCCCCAGTGTGTGTGTGTGTGTTTGGGGGGTGAAGCCCCAGTGTGTGTGTGTGTGTTTGGGGGGTGAAGCCCCACTGTACCCAGTGTCAGTGTGTGTTTGGGGGTGAAGCCCCAGTGTGTGTGTTTGGGGGGTGAAGCCCCACTGTACCCAGTGTCAGTGTGTGTGTGACTGGAGGAGGATGGGGGGGGGGGGGAGGAGGAGGAGGAGGTGCGCGCGCACACCCCCCCACACCCCCCACGCCCTGGCTGCTGGCGGCGCGCGCGGCATGCCGGGATCGCCGCCTCTAAATGTCCGCCATCTTGTCGGTGGCGCATGTCGCTCCGCAATGAGGGCCCAGCCCGGGAGCTCGGTCAGGGGCCAGGCGCAGGACGACGCGCCCCCTTCCTCCTCGACCCCTCGCACCCATGAGCCGCCAGGCCGGGGCTCGCCGCCGCCGCCGCCGTTGCTGCTGCTGCCGCCTCCTGCCGCCGCCGCCGCCGCCGTTTCGGACTGATCTGAGCAACGCCATCTTTGAGCGAGTCGAGGAGGGAGGGAGGGAGGAGGAAGAGGAGGAAGAGGAAGGGAGGAAAGGAAGGAAGAAAAAAAGGGGGGGAGGAGGAGGGAGGAGGAGGTTTTTCTCTTCCCCTCATCTTTTTTTTCGGGCATTTCCCCCCCCCCCCTCCTCCCTCCCTCCCCCCCTTTTCTTATCACTTCTATTTTTCTCTCTCTCTCTCTCTTCCCCCCCCCCATCTTTTCCTCACCTCTTTTTTTTCGGGGGGGGGGGGAAGAGAGAGAGAGAGAGGGAGAGTGGGGGGAGAAATCGGTGTTATTTTTTTGGGGGAGGGGAGGGGGCAGAGAGAGAGAGAGAGAGAGAGAGGGGAAGGAGCTCGAGCGCGAGCGCGAGGAAGAGGAGAAGAACAATAACTCGGCCCGCGCGCCATGAGTAAACTGTCGTTCCGCGCTCGGGCGCTCGACGCCTCCAAGCCGCTGCCCGTCTACCGCTCGGAGGACCTGCCCGACCTGCAGGACTGCGTGTCCATCAACAGGGCCGTGCCGCAGATGCCGACCGGCATGGAGAAGGAAGAGGAGTCGGTGAGTTGTCGTTTCGAACCGTGTGTGTGTGTGTGTGTGTGCGCGCGTGTGTGTGTGTGTGGTGTGTTTTTTTCGCGCGCGCGCCCGGGTGTTGTGTTCGTTCGATCGTTCGTTCGATGGGGTGTGTTTTTTTTTCTGAACGCCGGTGTTTTTATTATTATTATTATTATTATTGATTGATTGGGAGGATTTTAATGGTTATGGTAAGAGCGAGCGAGCGAGCCTCCCGCTTAGGCCCCACCACCCGCCCCGCGCACGAAGAAGCGGAGCGAGCGCGAGAGCCCGGACTGCGCAGGTGCACCTCTCTCACCCCCCCCTCCCCTTTTGCTCTCCTCTCCTCGCCGCCATTTTGACGGGGCCCTCTCGCCGCGCCACTCCTCCCCCCCTCCCCTCGCTCGCGCGTTTGCCGTTTTTTTTCTGGCGGGAGATTTGAATTTGAAATTTTATTGGAAGGGACCGGGGTGGGGGTTAGTGAAAGGTGGAACAAACATATTCACAACTGACCACCTCTTGTCATCGTAGTAATACCGCTACTACTACTACTAATTATTATTATTAATAATAATGATAACACATTGCAGCCGCCGCCCTCCGCCTCAGTGTCGAATTACGTCTCGAGAGAACGCTGGGGTTAAAATATTAAAAAGGGGGAAAAGAAAAACAAAAATAAGCTCCAAATATTAATAATAATAATGATGAATGATGAAATAAATTCAAACAGGGGTATTGAAGCACTGATTAAAATGCGTGATTCCCCCCCATCCCCCCAACACACACACACACACATTATATATACGTCGGTAGGCGGTTGTAATTTGTTCTGATCTTCTCTCTCCCCCCACCCCCCCCCCCGGGGGGAGATGTCACTTTTGTCTTTATTTTTATAAAATTTTTAAAAAAAGTTTTGTAAAAGATGATTTATGTTTATTTGAAAATGTATTTATTCTCCCTCTCTCTCTCCCCCCCCCCCCCCCCCCCGGTCTGAGCGGGGTTTGTATAAAAATAATCGTAGCGTTGTCTTCTCTGTGTCTCTGTGTGTCTCTAACCCCCCACCCCCCGGACTTCTCATTTCCAATTAAGTGTCGGTCGCTCCTTTGCTCGTTTCGTTTGCTGCCGCCGCCCCCCTCTCCCAACTCGAGGGCGGAAGTTCGGCACTCATCCACCCGCCTCCCCCTCGCTGCTATTGGCTCGATCTCCCGTCCGTCACGCGCGGCTGGGGCGAGCGCCGCTCCTCATTGGGCGGTTCGCCGGGCTGACGAGGCGGAGGGGCGGGGCCGGTGGGCTGGTTGCCTGTGGGGCGGCTGTCAGCGCACTTGTCCAGTCGGCCAGAGCTCTTGGCCGCGCTTCTTTACGGATGAAGCGCTTCGTGGATGCACGTTGGTTATGCACAAGTCGTAACCTTTAGCCATTGCATAGGATGTGAATAGAGTAATTCAACCTGGAGACGAGCCTTTGTGCCCAACTAGTCGTTTTTTTTAATATCTATATGTATAATATATAATCCTTGCATTTTGTGTAGCACCTTATATTGAATTACTCAATTCACTTTACAGTATAATCTGCAATGCTTTGAGACGTCTCGAAGACATGATAAGGTGCTGTATCAAATGCAAGGATTATTATACTTAGCGTCTTATGTTATCAGGCTCCGTCACTGACAACAAAATTACGTTAAACGCTCTGAGACGCTACAGAGGGTGCAATATAAGACGTCTTCGAGGCATCTTAAAACGCTTCACAGCATATACTGTAATTGACTGTATTTATATCTGCCTGTCACACAATGCCCCTGCTGTTCTCACCTGGACCCCTATGTTCCCTAAAGTCGTAGCATTTTCATCAATGCATATGCTGTAAGCCGTTTGCAAATTATATTGTTGACTAGAATCGTTTTTTGAAAGATAAACTACTTTGCAGAGTTGCTCTGCATGCTTGCAGTGAAAATGTAAGTTTGGTAATTCCCTTACTGCAAATCAATTTATTTTATTTTCTTGAGTGATGGGTATCTACGGTTATATTTTTAAACCAAAACCACAATGCAATCCTAATAATGGTAATATTAATAATAATCCTTGCATTTGATATAGTGCCTTATCACGTCTTCGAGATGTCTCAAGGCGCTTCACAGAATATACTGTAAAGTTAATTGTATATTTTGTGGGCTGTTATTTGCTACTCAAAATCTGAACCATATTTTGAGTATTTTTGTATGTTGTTAAACACAGCATAAAGAGAATGTAGATAAATTGTGAGTTCTTGTATGGGTCACTGCACAAGTGAAACGTTTTTTTTCTGAATTATATCAAATGTAAGGTCATTTGCAAGGATGTTTGAGTACTATATACTTCAACATTTTTTTTTGAGATTTGGGACAAAATGTGTTGCAGTAAAAAAAACAAGGTGTGTTCTATGGCAGCCAATAATTGAGTCATCGATAATTTTTTTTGCAACAAAATGGGTTGTAAGTATTTATTGGTGTGGTTAGTGTTGGTTCACTAAGATGATTAACCTTGCAAAACGTATCAGGTGTAAAATCCCTGGCTGATTCTTTTCCTAACCAATTTTACTTCCTCTGGTATCCTAGTTCATGTAGGAACTTTTTAAAAATCCTTTTGATTGCTGTCGTAATTATTACATGCTTGGTTTGCTGTGGTGAGACTCAATTTATGCATTCTACTGAGTAATGAGCAGTGCACTCAATAGTGTTTTGGAAACAAAACAGTAATTACTCCCCAATCATTGCCATGGAAGTTTATTATTTTTCTTAAATATAGTTCTGCAGGTCACTTCCTTTGTCACCCATTCAGATGCAAATTTTAACTGAATATATACCATTGTTTTGTAATGGTCCCATTGTAAGTTTGATAATTTATAAAAACAAAATGTTTTGCTACCATAACTTATGGGGAATAAAGATATTTTCTCTTGTCATCCTATATTCTTTTCATGCTGCCTACGTGATCCCAAGCTGCAAGTGTGTAACTGCACCAGCTCTCCCTGTATTGGTTTAGAACTAACAGCAGCCTCCCTTGACTACCAATGGATTTGGTTTTTATATTCAGCCTGCCTCCCTTTTACAACTTTGGCATAATGCTGTCTTATTGTAATTGTTATTCTGGACAATCAGTTGTGGATTTTAAGGAACTTCCTGTATTTACATTCCTTCGCAGTAGTTTATGTAGTTTACAGAAGTTTGACCTATAGCTGTAGAGGAAATCTTTAGTTTTTTGTGTATCACGGATAAACACCTGTACAAATAATATTGAAGGACCTTTGTGAATTTTGGAATTAAATGTTTAATGAATATTGCAGTAGTTTTGAAAGATATTACTAATATGGTGGGAAAGTGGAATAACATTAATAACATATTCTTAAAGATTTTCACTTGGATGCTGTTGATAAGCTTCTATCTCAGTGATTAAGAAATAATTGAATAGACATAATTATGCATTTTGCCCACAAAATATAGTCAATTCACTTTACAGTATATTCTTTGAGAATATACTCAAAGACGTGATAAGGCGCAAAATCAAATGCAAAGAGTATTATTATACAAGCAAGATAGTTTGCTTAAAAATAGGAAGTTTGGTAAATGGGAATTTTTCACAGTAGAAAGAAATTTTGAATGGAACACCCTAGGAATTTGAATGGAATTTTTGTTATTTTTCATGTACAGATAAATGATTTGCACAAAGCTATTGTAATGAAAGACATCATGTTTGTAGATTATGCTAAATCATGGAAATGACGATAAACATTGCAGCTACATTCAGAGGGATGTGGGTCTTTTGAGCAGCCAAGCCAGTGGTTGTTACGTTATTATTTTGCAAGGATAAGTGTAGAGTAATAGTTATGATTATTTCACACTATTTTGGCAAGAAACCAAAGTAGGTAATTTGTTTTATATAGAACAACCACACATAAGCAGTTAAGGAAGAAAATCAGATGGTCATTTCTGGATATACTTATGAAACAATTGTTGCAGTGCTTGACTGAGATTTAAAAAGGAACTTACTTGATTATTGAGTTCAAATGTGAGTGTACTAATCACAGCGTTTATATTCCTATATAAGGTGCTGATCGGATTAGAGATACATAATGACATTATGCATGCATCTAGGTCACCAAAACAGNAAAAAACATTGTCTTTGGGAGGATATAGATGCATGCAATCAAAAAGTTGACAGTTATGAGGAAAGATTGAGTAGGTTGACCTACTTCTTTGAAAAGAGGAAACTCTGTGGTGATCTAACTGAATTATTCAAGTTCCTGGAGGGATTGATGAAACTTCAGCCGTATTCTTCACTGTGATTTAAGGTTCAAAAATTTAAGAAAGGGAAATGGGGCAGAACATTTTATGATAATAGTTTTGTGGAGTAAATTCCGTAGAAGGTCATTGAAGTACAGTGTTACTTGATATCTTGCGAATTTTGATCAGGAGACAGGTCAGCGGGTTGGGGATCAATCAGAGAAGTCTAACTTGTTGGGAAGTAATCACTTTTTTCAGATCCTAAAATTATTCATGTTTATAGTGATAATGACTGATTTTGCCATTGGCCAGATATGCTGCTTGCATTTCAAGTGACAGTTAAAACATTGTTAAATAAACATGAATTAATGACATTATGACCTCTACCATGTGTCAAAGACTTGGAGGGTGTGCATTTGGCATCTAAACTGACTGGCATTGCTGCAACAAATACACAAACCCGAAAATCACCTGTAAATCTAAGGATGGATAATGTGGAAGGAGGATTTGATACAGAGAAATTATATCATGGAATTAAGTTTAGAGCTCTAAGTTCAGACATTTTGAGTTTCTCATTTTATGATTTGTGACTTGATCTGAATCTATTGATAGGTCTGCAGCTTTGTTTTATGTTGCAGTATGTGTACTGTTTAAAATTAACAATGGTGTGGCACTACTGCTATCTTTCCAGGGTTGTCATTCTGCAGTGGAGTGTCTTAAACAAATTGTAGCTTTTGAACTGTTGGCTATT